AACAACATAAAATTTGCAAGGGAACAACTGTTCTGTGATCAATTACCGTATATGGCCTACAGTGTACAGGTAAGATGCTGGCTGACTGCTAACTCAGTACCGCACCTACGTTAGGTACCGGTACCGCCGTGAATTCAGCTCTCATCTCTTTGTTGGACACGTAGTGGACATAACGATCGTTTCAATATTATGTTGTTGTTGTTGTTCTTGTTCTTTGACACGTTTTTAAAAAGTCGCTTTTCTCTTCGAATACTGGACCAATTGCTTTGAAATTTTCAGTGGTTAAAGATAAAAATTTTCTCCAGAAGGCTATTACTTTTTTTTTCGCTATGACGTCATCAAAATTATGTGACTCTACGTGTCCATATATTTGAGCATAGCTCTCTTGTTATCTTTACGTTCACAGCTTTCCAAAGTCGTGACACTCCCAGAGTCGTTATATTTCATATTGGTGGCAGCTTCAAATTATCTACATAATATTATTATAATAAAACATCATCGCTTTATACCTTATCAAAAACATGTCTGCGATGCTTCCCTCGTTATCATTGCTTCTTTCAAAATCATGGCGCATACGGTACTAACTAGCGTTTACCATTTGGATAAATTTTGAAGATCAATTTTAGAAGAAACAATCGATATACACCCGGTATTATTTGCAAACATAATTGTATGTAAGTAAATATGTAACTGAGTAGGCCTATACCTTTATGTAACAAAGAATAAATCTCAGCCGTAATATATTTGGTAGTTGATACATCCATGCAGTGTGATTTTCTTGTAACTTTCTTAATTCTTCAAGCTCATTATTGTTATTTTATCAAAATTCATACTATATTTCTTTCAAATTTAGATACGACATTAGATACGTCTCAATAAATCCGCGTAAAATTACCGGTATCGGATAAAAAATACGTTGAATCAGAGCAAAAAATGGACGTTTGACCTTTGACCCCAAACATTATATCTACAGTTTGTCGCTAATTTTGTGAGTGTTTGTGCGACTTTGGATACCGGTATTGTTCAGTACATCCGCGTAAAATTATTGGATATAAAATACGTTGACCCAGAGCAAAATGAACATACTTTGTCATTAATTTTGGGAGTGTTTTTACGTAGAATTAATGGATAAAAAATACGTCAAATTAGAGCAAAATGGACGTTTGACCTTTGACCCAAACATTATTTTTATACTTCGTCACTAATTTTGAGAGTGTTTGTGCGACTTTAAATACCGGTACTGTTCAGTACATTCGTGTAAAATTATCGTATGAAAAATACGCTGAATCAGAGCCATACCTGGCCAGCGTTGGTGCGAAGGCGATCTTTTCGTCCATAACTATTCTCACGGGATTCCTATCATTCAACACGATATGGTCTTTTTTGCTTCGCAATTTTTCGATTAGACCAAATCTTGCAAGCTAGTATTTGTCGATAATTGTGGAGTTATAATATTTTGGCATCTTTATATTACTGGATTATTGATTTTAAAACCATTTAAACCGATTCGAAGATATAATGAAATTTGAAGTATTATCATTAGTCCATGATTTCCATAACAATTCCTTGCCAAACTGCTTCGACGACATACTAACTAAAATTACTTCCAATCGAAGAAGTAGTTCCAACCTGTTCATACCTTTTATGAGTACATCTGTGAGCCAACATGCCTTATGTTATACTGGGCCCAAGCTGTGGAATTCTCTCCCCTTGAATTTGAAGACATTAAAATCTAAAAAATCTTTTCAGAAAAAAGTCAAGTCCTACTTGGTATCAAAATATTAAAATTTATTATTAGAATCACACTGTTATATGTTTTTCGTATGTAATTAGCTACAACTTCAAAAAAAAAAAGACCATGACATAAGTTGGGACACTCAGCACGTGCACATACTTATTGTTTTCATGCGAATGTTGAACACCCATAACATTGTTATTGTTTCTGAGATTGCTAATTTATTTTTGAACAAGCAGTTGAGCTCTCTTCATCTGTTTTGCATTCTAGTTGGCCGTTTATTTTGTTCTATAGCATAAGATTTTCCTTAATATGGCTGTTAACATTCTGATATCTGCATGCGCATGTTTCCTTTTCTTTCAATGTTGGGTTTCTGATATTCCACATGCGTGAACTTTGTTTTCTATTTGGGTGGTGTGATTCTTTGTGAGGGTTGTAGACAGTAGAATTAAACTCCTGTACCTAATATTGTAATTAGGTGACCAGTCGAGGTATATTTGGATTCTCCCCTACATTTTAACTTGCTGTAGTACTATATGCTGTGTCCTGCGTGTGTACAAAGTTTTTATCCTTGGTCGAATTTATGCTGTGTATAGAATGCAAATGTGTAAGGGTTAGTGTGATGTTAATGACTAAGATAATGACATACATGTGTGTGGTTTGACCGACATCGAAAGGCTTTTGCATGGTTTGTGAACAATTTCTCTTGTGCCCCAACCACAATCTCTTCTTTCTCAGGTCTTTCAACTAGCAGTCTAATGATATTTAATTAATATTAATCAATATTTACACAATTCAACAACTTCCACTCAAAGGTGTAGGGTAGTTTTCTATTGATTCCTTATTTGCAATCATTGAATATTGTACTCGCAGATATATTTTTCGTTTTTCAGGACGTCATGATGATCAATTTAAATGCTATCTATGTCAACATGAAAGGTGTATACATCAACAAAACTTGCAGACTGATGAATCATCCGTGATGAATTTGAACTGACCGCAGTGATCAACAACCTCAATTAAAGTTACTTGCCTATAATCCATGACCCTAGAAACCTTACTTGAACCTTAAACACCATATATATTCCCTTAACCAATTTTCCTACCTCTGTATCATACCGCCCTAATTAATTTTAATTATGATTACCGGTACTGTTATTGATTAATAGTATTTAAAATAATTTGGACGTTATTTGGCTTGTTGTGGCTTCTATTTGATGAGTGAAGCAGGTCTAGCCCACCTCTTCATACATCCAACTTGGCAATTCTGATTGGGCAATTTGGCATTAGGTGACTCCAATTATAATCAGCTTGACGATATCTTTTGAGGAATACTTTTCTATCCACAATACATTACTCTTGTTGACTAATTCGGTATCCAATTTGGCAATCCTCATAAAATTATTAATTTGGTGTGGCAAAAGAATTTATTCATTTTTTTTTATTTCTTTGTATATTTTCCTTCCTTTTTACTTTTAAGTCTCGCTTTTTTCGCTCCCGACTGTATCATGTCTCGATGATTGTGTGTGCGTGCGTGCCTTAATTAGTTTTTTTTTTTTACTTTTGGGTGAGCGAACACGTACTACTTCTTTTATCAATACCTTTCCATCTAAAATCTGTACGTTTCAAACCTTACTCTAGGTTTTGTTCGCTTTCCCGATTCTATAATCAGTTACTTTTACTTTTGTTTTTATCTATTTTTTTATCGTCTATTGCTGATTATGGAGTCGAAATAAACTTATTATTATTATTATTATTTACATTGGTGAGCACGTGCAAATTTTCGGCGTGCAAAATTGAATTCGCTCGCGTGTTTTTTTGCGGAGCGCTAGCGCCCTCGGGCGTGCACCTGCCATGGAATCCAGTCTGGCGTCCTGGTCGTCGTTTTGCGCAACCGGCGCTAGTCATAGGATCGTATTGTTATCATATTTGAGCATAGACGTCTTGCTTTGTCTATCACATGACCAACGTGGATTTCCCGGCGATCGTCAGGCTCATAAGGGAATCAAGTTTTAGTTGATTAGAACTTTCAAAAAACAGTATTATTTAGTCCTACATATCTTGATAATACAATCTAGCTAATGAATTGTGCAGTCTGAGAGTGTAGACCTAGCCTATGTGGTTAAAGTTATGTACCGGTATTTTTTCTCCATTCATCTAACCCAAGAAAAAATATCTTTAAATAGGCTAGTTGAAGTATTCAAAATTCAGGATAACTGGATTTTGTCAGTATCTACAAATTTAAAAGCAGCAAATTTGTTTGTTTCAATCTTGCTACTGCTATTCATTTAAATTTAGATTTTTCCCAATATTTGACGCATTATTAGAGTGGAAGTGGTGACTCCTCTACGGCCCATGGGCCGGGGAGTGGAAGTGGTGACTCCTCTTCGGCCCATGGGCCGGGGCCACGGCCCATCAAATTGGGCCTCGGCCCATCAAGTTGTGTAAAGAAACTATTCACTTGGCTAAGACAAACAGTCCCCAAACTCATAATAGAACTATAATGTAAAAAATCTGAACAAAATTTTGCCCTAACCCTAACCTGGTACACATACTACAGGAGTTTATTTTTTGGTTCGAATATTGACAATTTTGTAAAAATTGAAAATTTTGGTAAGATAATTGAATTTTTCCTGACGTTTCATGTGGCCCAATTAGATGTGCCGTGGCCCCGGCCCATGGGTCGTAGAGGAGTCACCACCCCTGTAGCATTACCGGTATTAAGTCCAGTTGCAGAGTTTAGAATATACGGCACTGCTAATGCAGTAATGCAATCTACTGAGAAGTATGGTACTTCATATAAAGCTCGCATTTCAGGCTTGAAGTCCAATATTATAACTTTATATTATGTTATAAATTTTTCAAAAACAATTAGACATCATTACATGAAAAATAAATTTTCTAGATTGGCTAAAATATTTTAGTCAAACTATTAACTTATTTGGTCCGTCAGCAATATACAATTTGTATTTTGTGTCGAAAAATAGTGTTTCTTGTGTGTTTCCTATATAAGCATTTAAGCAATGTGTAAAGATTGCGGCTATTGCTATAGTAAATGTCAAAAGTTTATGCTTCATGCATTGTTACGGGTGTGTTTACGCTTCGCCCAATGCATTGTTACAGGGTGTGTATGACTCAGAATAACATGCGAAAAAAGCCAAATATTTTCAGTTGGTAGCTTAACAACAAGTACGCAACCAGTTTATTCTTACCACAGTTTCCATAGTTACATTTATAATAACTCTTCTTTTAAGTTTGTGTAGTAATATACTAGTTTTAGGTACACAAATGTACTATTGGCTTTTCATTAATTTGTGATAACGGCATTGGTGTTTCAGTCACATTTCTATAAGATAATCATGGCAGATAATGATGCAGATCTTGCCATAGCAGAAAAGGATATGGGCAATTCATTCTATAAGAAAAGGGCCTTTAAAAAAGCTCTGGAATGCTATGATAGAGCTATCAAACTTGATGCGACAAATGCTATATTTTTCACAAATAAAGCTGCAGTGTATTATGAACAAGGCGAGCTTGAAAAGTGCAGAGAAAATTGCTTGAAAGCTGTGGATGTGGGACTAAACCATGGTGCAGACATAGCACTAATTGCCAAGGCATATGGTCGTATTGGGAGTTCTTATATGAAAGAAAAAAATCATTCTGAGGCCAAGCACTTCTTTGCTATATCTTTATCAAAAAATAAATCCTCGGATGTTATGGAGAAGTTAGTCCAATGTGAAAAAGAAATAGAAGAAGTGGAAAGGCTGGCATACATCAACCCTGAACTTGCTCAAGAAGAATATTCAAAGGGCTGTGATGAATTTGCAGCTAAAAATTTTGAAATAGCGCTGAATCATTTCACAGAAGCAATCAAACGTAATCCCGATGATGCCAAAACATATTTGACGAAAGCTGCAGTTCATATGACATTGCTTCAATATGATAAAGCTGTGGAAGATTGTGAGGAATGTGTTAAAAAGGATGCCAGTCTTGTGAAAGGTTACATTTATAAAGGAGCGGCTTTAGAATCATTATGTGAATATGACAAAGCTATGGATGCATATCAAAAATCACTTGAACTTGATCCAAATGTAAAAGAAGTAACAGAAGCATATCACAGATGCTTAAATAAAGACTATGAAGCTCGCAACACATCGAATCTGTTACATAGTAGGGCAAAAGAAAACACAGACATTGCAGAGATATTATCTGATACAAATGAATCTGATTCAATAAGAAAATTGATTAATAATCCTAATATGACAGATAAAGTGCAAAGGCTTATTGATTATGGATTAATCAAGTTAAGCTGAGTTTGTTTTTGGCCAATGCGATGTCTCGTATAGTAAACGTAAGATCAATAGCATATGATGCAAGTATGCAATTAAAATTGAAACATAATTTTAATTATCATTTCTTATCACTGGTATTCCCTCATTTGTATTCATACTGGTGCCATACTTTTCCTATTTGAAACATTTAAAGAGTTTGAACATGGGTCACCATGTATTATTAGCAATAAAACTATTGCTTTATGTTTACAGATTATTGATAATACGGTTAATTAAAAGTAATCATGGCAGCGGCTAAAGGGAAGTTACTTGCAGTGATTGCAGATGAAGACACATGCACAGGATTTCTCCTTGGTGGAATTGGTGAACTCAACAAAACAAGACAACCAAATTTTATGGTTGTAGATAAGGATACTCCCAGTTCTGAAATTGAAGACCAGATGAAGACATTCCTCAGCCGCCGAGATATTGCAATTGTACTCATCAGCCAAACAATTGCTGAAGTTGTACGGTACATTATAGATGCTCATGATGAACCTATACCAACAATTCTTGAAATTCCATCTAAGGATTCACCATACGATCCATCAAAAGACTCTATATTGAGGCGAGCGAAAGGAATGTTCAGTGCGGATGATTTCAGATGAAAACTTGATAATGAATATCTGAATGTTGCAGTTATTGTCATGGTCACAGATATATTTTTGTTCTTTCATATTGTTATATTATTTCCTTAAAATCTATTCAGATAAGTTTGGGTTTACTAGGACATTTTCTTATTAATAAGCATTTGCTCCAATCTTCATTCCTTCAAGAATAATAATTAACTTTTCAATAACTGAGCTATTTGGCAATACTGATTTTTCATGCAATTTTCCATTACTGGTACTAATTTGTTGAAAATTGACAAGGATTAAATGACTTTTCCTGATGAATAGTTTCCATACTATTCAACTAACTTGACATTTATAATAGGCTTTTTATACAAATATACTTGTCTGTGATAGTTTTCAAGTTCATTTCTTGTTTAAAGTCAGTTGTGCAATAAAGTTGACACTTCAGTATGGCGTTGAATTGATGTCTCATATGCAAGCTTGTAAGAACAGAATGTATGTATGAGCAGGGTTGCGTTTTCCGCAGCAACTAGTCATAGTACACATTAGATAAAATTTGTCAACCAAAAACAAGTAAATGGAAGTATACATACAAAAAACAACAACGTTTTTGGTAAAAACTAGAGGGAACGATACGGCCAAGAATGATAAATACGGTATAGTTGATGAAAACTTGTGATTGAAGGTACCATATGCAATGTGTGACGTCGCCCGGAAGTGGAGGAAAGTCCATCTGAGGTGTAATTTTCGTGTTTTGAATTAGAAAAGAAAAACGTCATCGTTCACATAATCATGGACGCACCGATGAAATGATTATAGGATAGAAAATGAAGGAATGACTATCAGGGTTACCATCTACCTAGAGCTAAAAAAAGCACGACTGTTAAAAGATTATTTTGCGAGGGGTATTTAACAGCGGAAGAAACGCAGAATGAACATAAGAAAAAGTTCATACACGAGTCTCTTCCGCACTCCCGATTTTTTTCATAAATCCGGAATCGCAACCAGTATATATGCGTGAAAGACATGTTATTTTCACCTACTAATAAAACGTTGCTCAATTTTATGAACAAGTTGAATATAATAAGTGCACATAAATGAATGACAAATGAGGGCACGTTTGAATTTCACTGAAAGATATATAGAATTTCCAAACAGAATATTTCATGGCGGAACTTTGAGCAAAAATATCATCACTCGTCAACGACCTTAATATAGCGCTTAGTCGCTTTTACATATCGTTTCTCTTTTTCTGTGAAACAATAGGTAAATGCTTTTATATCCATCCGACGGCAGGTTGAAATATATGATGTGTATGACCGTAAATATATAGGCCTACTGTATGACTTGAGCCGTAGTAGTATATATTTACGCTTGAGCCACTATTGTTTTCGATACAGTATCTCAAATTCTGGATCACCAATGTTGCCATTTTGCTTTCGCCGTTTTTCCCTTTCCATTGGCACAACTTTTATAACAACATAAAAACTTTTTGCCAAGGAGTAGGGCCGGGCTCTTCGAATCGAATACTCGAATAATAAATTCCAAATTCTAAAAATTCTAAAAATTAAATAAAAAGTTCAGAGCAAAATTTCGAATTGCCGCCATCTTCAATATTACCATCCGTCAATGGTAGAGGTGAAATACCCATTTTTTTTTATTCTAGCCATATTTTTTCAATGCCATTCTGACATATGACTATTTTCTGTAGTGAGTTATTGATAAATAAGCGTTTCGATATTGTGTGTGAACGCTCTGCAATTGGCCTTAATGAGGTATTCTATGCTTTCAGTAATTCATTTGTTGATCAATTACAAAAAAAAATTACATACAATTACATATCTCCCATTGACTCCCAAGTATTCGAGATTCGATTCGAAACAAATATTCGATTCTGAAATATTCAGGTAATCGAAAATGCCCAACCCAGCTCTTTCTGCCGACGCCATTGTGATATAACAATGTTCATTTCGACACCACGGCGTATTGGTGTCTAAGATTGCATTTTCAGAGTGGTTCAACGTTTCTTTCTTCAAAAAGTCCTTGTAATTCCGAGGAATCTTTTTCGTGAAATATGTTATTCAAGAAAAGAACTTGGTCTGATGACTATGTGCAGTATGGCTTTACCTGCTCAACTGAAAGTGACTTCAGTATCAGTATCAGTAGTTTATTTTTACACATGCCGAAAATACACATTATACGAATAGGATTAAGTAAAAAAAGAAAAAAATGCATTTTAGTGTGAAGGAAGACGCGATAAACCAGTAATGGTTATCGAGCAGCGTCACCTACAAGGAAGTCTAACAACAAATTTTATAAAGGAATAAAAAGACGAACATTAAATACTAAGAGAATACGGAAATAGAATATATTCAGGCGACCCGAATATCCGAGTCTCGTTCATAACGAAGGAAGCAAGCGACTCCAGTCACAAACAGGCGGGGTAACCATGTCAACCGCGTTTTATTAGATATCAGAGTGATAAACCATAGCATTATGAGGTAACTATGGATAAACGGGCTAAGAAACCTCGCTTGTCAGCTGCAGTAAGGGCCATTGTTTTGGGGGTAGTACCTCATTCGGAAGACATTAATAACAAACAATATTATTGGAATCAAGTTCCGAAAGGGGTTTTTAAATCTATACGGTACCGTACCGGTACTCATGGAATTCTACAGGGGCCTGATGACTGGGTGCTGGTGGCAAATTCATACATGAACAGAAAAAGAGATCAACTTAAAAAGGTAAACAAAATTCTGGTAAATACTAGATTATCGTTGAACCAAACATAAGTTAGATTTAGCAGAAATCCACAAACAGACTGCACAGATATTATTAAAATAGGCTACTGAAGGCAATTACAATGCAATAAGAGATCTGAAATATAACTTATAATTTTAGATCATGTACCACATGGCTATTGTGGTATAATTTCAACAAAAGTGAGAGCACTTATGTTTGACTGCAGGTAACAAATGCAAAAAAAGATATTGGTTAATTCAAAACATGAAACCTCGAGTGTGACTGCACTTCCACAGATATCTGTGGATTACAGGAAGAATAGAAACAAACTCATGTGCAAAATAAAAAGTATAATAAATATAAGACATGACTATTCATTTCTCTGCATATAATTAAACAGTCCTTGTAGAATTCCAAAAAAGTAAGCATGGAGATTCATTTCACTGTGCAATATATGAAGAAAATTAAGAAATAGACAGAAATAACCATGAATATCCATTCCACTGTGCAGTATCAAAGGTGCAGAACGAATTCAACAAGAATAAGCATGAAAATTTATTTCACTGTGCAGTATATAAAGTAGGCAACAACAAAAGAGTGAATATTCATTCCACTGGGCAATATATAAAGTACGACAAAAGTGTGACATAGAAAAATAAGCATGAAAATTTATTCCACTGTGGAATATATGAAGTAATAACAAGAATCTAATAAAAACAAACATGATTGTTTCTTCCACAGTGCAGAAAATTGATTATTAAAAGTATCAAGTCAATCAATTCGAGAGGCTGTGGATCAGATCAAGCAATCCTGGCAATGACAAAGAGGAAAGCTGACAGCACATCAACTCTAGGTGCTGGCAGGTGACAGGTAAGAAGAGAGCATGAATTTTTTAAATTTAAATTTAAAGATGTCATAAGTGGAGTCACGTAGACTGAGGGGAATACTGTTCCAAATTAGTACACCTTTGTATTTTAGGGAATTTTGTGTTAAGCCTAGGGAAAAACGTGGTACAAAAAGATTAGACTTAGTCGAGGAGCGGGTATTGTGCTCATGTACATTACTAAGACTTAGAAAATAATTGTCAAAAGCTGCGGGTAGATTATTGTTGTGGTATTGGTGCATAATCTTGGAGACCTCTAATTTGTAGATGTCTGACAATTTTAGCACCCTTCTTCAATGCGGAAATGACATGAGTATTGTTCTTTTTGAAACGAAGCCACGTGTCTCACAGTTGGGCACCGAAAAACAGCAGCAGAAGTGTCATTTATGAATTTAATGAATAAGTAAAGTTTACTGCAATTTATTCTGCCACAACCAATGGCGCAACCAAGGGTTGATACTCTTTTCACAAAACATTTCCTTCAAATTTAACCCGAAAAAAAAAACAATCAAAGGCAACGATTTCATATTCTATCAATTGAAGGCGGTCGAGTTTTCTATAAATTTGTACAAAAAGAGCTTATCCTTAATAAGTTTAGGTTGCGCTCTTAGTTCAAAAATTTGGGGTTTGACAGGAGCTTGCGGAATAGCGTAGAGGTTTGGCAGGCTCATAAAGGTTAAGAACCACTGATGATCTTCCTCCATCATCAAGTCCATGTATATATATGAAACAAATAATTGGCTAACTAATCAAGGTATGGCATGGCAATGGTTCACCATGTGATTAAGCCGCTGTAACTTTTTTTCTTTCCCCGGAGATAAAAATGTTTATCCTATCCCGAATTGGTGATATGAAAATGCGACGTAAAATTCAAATATGACTCTTAAAATTAAATTATGAACATGCGGCAGATCAATGATTTGAGCCCACACAAGAACGAATGAACGAATTGAAATTAGAAGGTAACGATTTATGTGAAGTATTATTTTGAGATTTCATTTGAAAATTGCATACCACTGCGACCGAAGCTAGCCCAACATATGGAAATCACATACGTCAACATATTGATTGGAGTCAATAATATATTAAATCCTATTATTTTCTTTTGTTACTCTTATTTTGGCAGAAAAATATGTATAACAAAGACAAACTTCAATACGAAACCCATGATCAAAATGCAATTCAATTGATTCTCAACACGATATATATTTAATAGTCAATAGAAAATATTCAGTATTCGCCCAACGGAAAGTAGACATAATTGCAGTTCTATTTCTAAGACTTGGGAATGAATTTTTCAACAAATATCTCGGAAATAGAATATGACGGTTTGGTGTTAAAGGGATACACCTTGGCAATTTGGACTTCATCAGTTTGCCTTTCGGTTGGATATTTCGTCGCTACGACCTACATTACGGTAATGCTAATAATTGATATGTGCAAAGACGGAGATGAACCGAGCAGCGCTACCGAAAGTGTCGGTAAAAAAATGAAAAAATGGATTAAAATATCACGTTTTTTATTCGTCGCTATTTGCAACATTCATTATCTGGCTGGCTGGCTTGGAAAAATTTTGGTCGATCTGTACTACCCGGAATTTTGCAATTTTCAAAAAAAGTGGAAAATCATGTTCGAAGCGGGTGGTGTAACTTTCACCTATTTGACGTTTTGGATTAGACATCGAATAATCCACAGCATTCCTGCCATGCAACATTCAATTAATTATGCTACTCGCATATTGGGTATAGTTGTATTCTTTCTAGCTGTAGTTGTTCCCCCTTTGAGTAGATTAATCGTCGCTCTCACCTGTTCAGCCAAGGTTACT